ATTCAGTGAGATATGCAATTTTTTGCCGATCGCTCAGCAGTAGGTCATGTGATAGGATCAACTTCTAACATTAATTTGACCTTTTGTCTGTGTAAGGCTACTAGAGGATGAAGGAAGTGTACGCATGTAGCAATTTGAACCTGCAACGTTACCGGCTCAGACGCCGATACCGAGGATGGACGTAATCATAGACGGAATGTCAAGGAATGTTATCTTTTTGTCCATAAATATAGTGAATGGAACATATCAGATTTTACTGCATGATCAAAAAAAATATTTAAACAGCAGTAAGCACGCCCATCATTATGATATAGATGTGCGTTTTATGCCACAAGGGCGAATTACTTCCCCCTTCTCTTTCAACAGTTGCGTAACAAATCGGTTGAGATCGGTGTAAGATTTTAGCTTGAGTTGCTTCAATGATATTTATGTCGACATCCGGGATATGGATATAAAGTATTTAGTGCAAGTCCACCTACTTCATCTTCAAATGTGGCTTACAATACGCGCGGGCATAATCGATATGCCAGTAGAAAAAGTGCATATCCACGGCTAGCGAAACAAAAATTTTTAAGCGCATCTTCAACATATAATCTGTACGCCGTGATCCGTAAAAGATTAAGGCAATCGCCGACTGACTCGTGCCATTCAGTGTTGAGGGACTTCAGTATTTTCGTAGGCTATCGTTGCACTTGCACATATACTCGCGCAACTACGCCGATATGACCGTCTATCATTCTGGTTTGTTAAAAAAGAACTTGTATGCAGTACCGAGTGTCAGCACTCCTTTAAAGGTGCCAAGAAAAGCTTGATACAAACGCCTGTTTTTGCGACTGTAGATCAAGAATGAACATTTCATGTAAGCTGTGACGTCATCGTCTGTTATCCGTCGCGTCAGCTACGACTAGCTGCGCGAAAGTATCCAGTGCATAGAAAAGATCTCTTTGCCATGAAGTATGTTCTGGCCAAGCTCCTCTTCTAATTTTCAAAGGATAGATTGTTTTTTAAACGGCCCATGCGTCACTGCGCACGTCCGTAAAACCCCACACCTCTCATAAAAAATGATGAGGTAGCTGTGTTTCGTCGTGGAATTCAGCTTTTTTATTCAGTACATATTAAGAAGACTAAATATAGTTACTGATGCCATATCACACCGACCTGATATAGCGCCGGCTGTGTGTAACCCGACTGTAAAAATAGACCCATAATTGCGATGATGACTAGCAGCATCCCTTTGTCTAGTCTGTTGACTACTTGAGCAAGGTGTGTTCACAAGATACAGGACTCGCGCGTCTGATGAATTATATATATAATCCATCCAGCCAAGTTCAATTAACGTTTTAGCGACGTATCTTTGGTTATTTACACGTATAGTAACCCGCGATGGTTTGATATCATATGCGAAATTCGCCAGATACATATCTCATGTCGTCGTCCCCGCATATAATGATACGTGCCTGCAATCACGTATGAGTGTCACGGTTCTCTTATTAATGGAGATCGTGGCCGAAATAAGGTGATCTCGCGGTCAGTCAAGCCTCTCACTGACCTCATCAGTATCATTTTGTTCTTAAGAACATTCGACCTAGCAAGGGCTGTCGACGGATATAGCTCAAGCCTTCACCCCATGAACAGTTCCAGATCCTACCAAATTGGAATAGTGATGAAAAACATGGTTTCAATGTACTTCCGTTTTAGGTGGCTTAAATATGAACGTAAGAATACGGTCGTTCTTGTTTTCATTGATCGTTCCAGCAATATGTTGCATCTTGCTACTTTGCCCGACTCAAATACATACAACGGCTTTGCCCTTGATTTCATCAATACGATATCACGACCCCGTGTTTCCCCCGTAAGCTCGTCTCTGACAGAGGCCCTTGCTTCACGGCAGAACGTTGTCCGTCTTCAATTCGTTCACTTGAAACACAGTAAAATATGTTTACTTCTGATTATCCAGGAACTGGTGGACAGACAGAACGTGCCAGCTGATATCTCCAACAGATACTTCGAGGCCTTGTCCTCTCGTTGATACTTTGTGGCGAATTCTTTTTAATGATTGAGTAAGCCAGCACTAAGTTAATGCATATCAAATAAGCATACAACATTCTTCGCGGATGGTGAAAGACATCACGCATATCTTCTTCTTTAGACATTGGCCCTTGATTAGGAGGAAATTCTTGAAGGTATGATGCCGATTCTTTGATACAACGCATCAAGATAATTATTGATGCGGGCGTCGACGTGATCGACATCGTAAAAGCAAATAGAATCAGCAATGGATTGGTTTGAGCAATCGCGACGAGTGGAAGGATCGCGCACCTGTAGGATCGTATGTTTCGAGCGCAATGAGAAGGTTGCATGAGTGGTAGTGAAGATCTAGCGAGAGAGAGAGACCGACAAACAGCGAGCGCGGAGAGCTGTGTTGTGAATGCCAGAATCCAATTTGCCTTCTGCAACGTATATAATCGAGTTTCTTACGGAATATATTTAAAAAATATTCCGGACTCCGTGATTCTGTTCCACCGCAAATGCTACATGATTAGTGCTGTGGTCAACACTTCCTTTTGAAGCGTTTATTGATACTCCTCGGGTCACATATACGTCTGACAAGTGACCTCGTCCTATGACGCGGCTACTCGCCTTCGGATAATAGCTAGTAGCATCGCTATCAACCAATGATTAACGTTCTTGATCTCGTGCGGAGATACGACGAGACTCACCCGATGATTCATGAGGACGACTAGGAAACGTGCTCATATGGCGAAAATTGAGGTGCTGCAATGTAGCAATTCTTTCTCGTTTCTCAACTGAAATGAGCATCCTCAATATGGGATCAGAAAGAGGGTAAGTACCAGTTGGGGCGCGGTTGCGGTTCATTACACATCTCGGACAACGGTCGCCCTAAGACAGTCATGGCAAGCCATACACTTCGACGGACAATTCATTTATGTCTTGTACCGAGCGGTAAAAGCTCCTTTAGTTATTGCTAAAATGCAGTATCTTTGACAAGCCACACTTCACGGCCTATGCATTCACGTTCGTGACACACGCATTCTACGTAATCGTGGCTTGTCATCCTTGTCACGGCGGCCGCTGTACAACCGATGCCTGAAAAAGGCGTCGGCATAGAACGCCTCTATTATGCTGGAGTTTCACGTTGACATTAGGTCCAAAGAGCATAAATAGATATCGAATAGTTATATTCTATCTATTGCACTGGATCTTCCTGATCAAGTCTGAAGATTACGTGCAAAAGGCATTTGCGGAAGATGAAGGGATTGACGCATAGAGCGTTATGGAATTGGCGTTGGTGATGATTCTTAAACACGAAATATCAGGGACGAAGATACCATGCATAACTAAGTTACCTACTCTAGTACCAGATAGTATGGCACTACCACGCGCCGCTCCGGTTGTATCAAAGGCTTCGGATGATTTTTAGTGTCGGATGTACCGTCCGACTCGCCAGAATGGGAGAGCAGCATTTCTGCATCATCTGTACGTGATGAATGACCGAGTTCGCTTGCGCTGTAATAGCGCGTGGATGTCCACGTGAACTTGCAACGATTGACGTTTCAGTCGTTACATGGCATTAACACAATTTCTGTCAATTAAATATTATTTCAACTGATAGCATTTACCGATATTCACCCATATGAGTACAAATTGCTCAACTTTTACGTTTCGATGTAATTTTTGATATTGCTTCGCAATTATATGATGATGCTATGTTATTGACCGAATAAATTACCATTCGCTCTTTGACGCGTTCAATAGGTGGCAAGCTTGCTTCCACATCTGGTATTTGTAATTTAAAATGTTGTAAGTAAGAATTATAGTTTGTATCGAAAAACTACATAATAAAACATAAAGTTATACTTATTCCTCATTCTGAGCTCTTCTTTTCAGTCTGGTCTTCCTTCATCTGTACAGTCTATGTGCGTTGATGAAAGCACACACTGTTGCACTTTCATCAGTGCGAGTGCTTATTTGAGTTACTTGGTGGAAATAAGCCCCATGACATGATATAAAGTTTGTTTTTGAGCACTACGTGCTGTCGCTTTTACAAATTGCGAGTCCTACAAAATATGACTAGAAACAGTGTCAAAAAAAGCCTCACAGCGTCGTCGTTCTTCAAAAAAATTCTATTCAATGCCATTGTTCGCTTACGTAAAAACTTGTCGATTTGTGGTGTCATGTAGTGGCTTTTTGAGCTTGAGCCTTCCTATGGCAAGGAGACGATATAGCTTCGCTACATTGTGTGTGTACATAGAGACGGGCGGTACGATGCATGTTGTGAACCCACTGCGAAACTTTCCCATGTGGTGACCGCAGTAATCTCAGAGTATCGTGTCGACCATGTATGTGGCTGTTGCTGCTTGCAGTCTACTTCGAACGCGTTCAGCACAAATGAAAGCTCTAACTGAAAACTTGGCGTTGTCCAGTTGATGCACTCGGACTTCTTCTCTAGCAGGTCGAAGGTCCTTTCGCCGTCGCTTCTTTTGGTGAACTTCGCCTTTGCCTTTTTGCGTTGTAGATTACGATACAGAGTCCCTGATTGTGCATCGGTTTTACCGAATGAAGCATCGGGGCGGGTCTTCGAATACATGCAGGCTTCGCAATGATCTTTATCCACCATTAACAATCCAAAGCAATACTATAGTTTTTGGTGCTTGTATACGAAGCGATCCAGTAGTACAAAGATGTGCGGTCGAAGAAGCGATGGAGGAAGTAGAGAAGTGTACCCTGTCACACTTATCATCAACTGTACCAGTATCAGAAAAGCACCTGACCACGTCGGCTTTTGGCTCCGCCCGCACGTGTCTCGCGATCTACCTGTCGAAACGAATCACCGACGATTCAGCTTCTTTGGGCGCTTTCGCTTCCACACGAACCTGCACAAATCCATACGACGCTTCGACGCCGCGCCGACGACCGCAGTCAACTTCCCGTCGTGCCCTATTCGCATCCCGTGTCCAGCGAAGTACCGACAGCGCCACATGTTCGCCCACGCGCTGCAGCAACGCGTCGCCGCAGCACTCCCGAAGAGCACATCGTACGTACCGTCTGACGTGCCTGTTGTGTATATGGTGTGCTCAATTGCGTGCGCTGTACAGTCGCGAGGTGCATTGGGCAGAGCGCTCACGTCACCAGTCGTTGTGTCCCATACTGTAGACGCCTACGGACGCGCGCGATCGGGTTTCTGTCCACACTGCCGGACGAGCACGTGATGCTGCGCGACATGTGCGTGCAATACGCGGCCAAGAACCTCACGCCGCGCGCGGGGGCGCTCGACAAGGAGCACCGGTTCCCGGCCAAACAAGTGGAGGCGCTGGGGCAGATGGGGCTCATGGGCGTCGCGATTGACGACGCGTACGGAGGAGCTGGACTGGACTATCTGGCGTACGCGATCGCGATCGAGGAGATCAGTCGTGGCTGTGCGTCCACGGGCGTCATCATGTCGGTCAATAACGTACGTCCCCCTCTTGGCTGTGGACTTGCTCTCGCTGGGTCCCGAGCTAACGCTGCTTTCTGTGTGTGGTGGTGATCATGTATTGCTGACGTCCTTTGGTGTCGGTCTCTGTAGTCGCTCTACTGTGCACCGCTCGACGCGTTTGGTACGGCCGAGCAAAAAGAGAAGCACTTGACACCATTTGCTAGGGGCGAGAAGCTCGGCTGTTTTGGCTTGAGCGAGCCGGGGAATGGCAGTGATGCGGGTGCGGCGTCGACGACGGCACGGACGTCGGAGAAGGGATATGTGCTTAACGGCACAAAGGCGTGGATCACTAATGCACATGATGCCGATCAGGCTATTGTGTTTGCGACGACGGACAAGTCGCTCAAGCACAAGGGCATTAGTGCGTTTATTGTGCCGATGGATGCGCCAGGCTTTTCACTAGGCAAGAAAGAGGACAAGCTCGGCATTCGTGCGTCCAGCACTGGCAATCTCATCTTCGAAGACGTTGAGATTTCAAAGGACTGCCTTCTCGGCAAAGAGGGAGACGGGTTCAAGATTGCTATGGTTACACTGGACTCTGGTCGTATCGGCATTGCAGCACAAGCACTGGGGATTGCTCAAGCCTCGTACGATTGTGCTATCGCGTACGCGCAGACGCGCAAGACGTTCGGTGTGCCTTTGGCGAAGAACCAAATCATCCAGACCAAGCTGTCGACAATGGCCACGGAGATCGAAGCCTCGCGTTTGCTGACGTGGAAAGCTGCCGTCGAGAAGGATGCTGGACGACCTTATACAAAGCTGGCCGCCATGGCAAAGCTCAAGGCGTCGGAAGCCGCCACCATGTGTGCCCATCAGGCCATCCAAGTGCTCGGCGGCATGGGCTACGTGTCGGAGATGCCAGCTGAACGCCACTATCGTGACGCACGCATCACAGAGATATACGAAGGCACGTCGGAGATCATGCACCTCGTCATTGGCGGTGCGTTGAACAAGGAGTTTGCCGAGACCAGTTAGTCACCGACAGGCAACCCGGCAACAGCTCGAACGAGGCCCAGACGTCGTGCTCGCCAGCCGGTCTCGCAACAGCTTGGACACTGCGCTGGTCTCTCTGTCTCAAGCCGAGTCAACAAACAGCTCAAGTCGATTGTACGTCAGCCACCGTCTCCGCCTAACGCATGATCACTGACTGTACTCCACGAAGTCGCTTATCTTCCTCTTTGTAGCCCATCTACGTCCTCGAAACGACCTGTCAGCGTCAACGCCCATTCCAACAGCTCTCGCTCCGCTCTTCCCTTTGGATCTCTCCCCCATGACGGCACAAGACGCCCGTCAGCCCCTGGACGCGCCAGCCCTGACCGCGTACATCCACGCGCGCCTCGGCCCTTCCCATGGCGCTATCGCGTCCATTGGCCAGTTCCAACACGGCCAGTCCAATCCCACGTACCTCGTGACAATGACCGACTCGAAAGCCGAGTGGGTGCTGCGCAAGAAACCGCCTGGCGAGCTCCTGCCGTCTGCCCACGCGGTCGAGCGCGAGTTTCGGGTCTTGAAAGCCCTCGAGCACACGGAAGTCCCAGTGCCGCGTGCTGTGCTCCTATGTGAAGACGCTCAAGTCGTCGGCACGCCCTTTTACCTCATGGAGCACGTCCCCGGTCGGATCTTTCAGGACCCGTCGCTGCCCGGGGTCAAGCCAATGTACCGCTATGCCATGTACAGCTCAGCAGTGGACGCACTGGCAAAGCTGCACGAAGTGGACTATAAGAGCATTGGGTTGGCCGACTTTGGCAAGCCGGACAAGTACTGCCATCGAGTAGTGGCTCGATGGAGTCGACAGGTGCAAGGAGGGCACAAGGTGCTCGCAGAGGCAGGAGTGAAGGAACAGACGAAGCTGGTCCAGTTGCAGCACTGGCTAGAACAACAGGCTGACGAAGCTGAGGAGGCGACGACGACGTTGAATGCACGAGGAGAAGGAGCTGCTTGCCTCGTTCATGGAGACTTTCGGCTCGACAATGTGGTTTTCCACCCGACAGAGCCGAGAGTGCTGGCAATATTGGACTGGGAATTGTGCACGATAGGGAACCCGTTTGCCGATGTGGCGACGTTGGCCGCAACGTACAGATTGCCGACCGACGCCTCGAACACGATCTTGACTCCGGGATTGTCGGACGCCCCGCTCCGAAAGCTCGGCATTCCGTCGGAAAGTGACATGTTGCTTGGATACTGTCGTCGGGCCAGACGCTATCCACTGCATAGTCGGACGTGGAATTTCTTCATTGGCATGGTCGTGTATCGCTTTGCTGCGATCAGTCTCGGGGTCTACGCTCGTGCGTTAATGGGCAATGCGTCCTCAGCCAACGCTATGTGTGCGATCACGACAGTCGATCGGCTACTGGCACTAAGCGACGTGATCATGGACGCTTCGGCTGACATCTACCCCGATCTAGAGCTCGAGCACACGCTGCCGTTCCCGATTCGCCCACATGCTTTGCATGCCTATAAAAGGCTGCGAAAATTCTGCCACACTCGCGTGTACCCCGCAGAGCATGTGCATCTAGACCAAATTGCCAAGGCACGGGAAAACGGGCGTGTGTGGAGTGTCGTACCGCCTATCATTGAGGAGCTCAAGGCCGAAGCCAAAGCACTTGGGCTCTGGAATCTGTTCCTGCCTCCATGTGCGGTACCGGCACTCGATGGCAAGGGCCCCGATGTCAAATACGGCGGAGACTTGACCAACGTCGAGTACGCACTCATGTGTGAGGTGATGGGGCGCTCGATCATGCTGGCGCCTGAGGTGTTTAATTGCTCGGCACCCGATTCTGGCAACATGGAAATCCTCGCGCGGTTCTGCACGACGAAACAGAAGCTCCAGTGGCTCGTGCCTTTGCTGAACGGGGAGATCCGCTCATGTTTTGCGATGACTGAGAGGCGCGTCGCGTCGTCGGATGCGACCAACATCGAAACGAGTCTTGTGCGCGACGAAGAGCACCGGGAGTACGTGATCAACGGCCACAAGTACTACATTTCCGGAGCAGGTGACCCGCGTTGCAAGCTCATTGTGCTCATGGGCAAACACCCTGAGCGAGCACGCGAGAGTGTGTTCAAGCAGCAGTCTATGATCCTCGTGCCAATGGATACGCCAGGCGTGCACGTTGTGAGGCCAATGCACGTGTTTGGGTACGACGACGCACCGCACGGACATATGGAGATGGTGTTCAAAGACGTTCGCGTTCCATTCAGCAATCTGCTGCTGGGCGAAGGCCGCGGCTTTGAAATGGCTCAGGCGCGTCTCGGACCCGGCCGTGTCCACCATTGCATGCGCACGATTGGCGCAGCGGAGCGCTGTCTCGAGCTCATGGTTCAGCGTGCGAAAACACGCGTCGCGTTTCAGCAGCTGCTGGCGGAGAACGCACTCGTGAGTTCCCAGATTGCCCTGTCGCGCTGCGAACTCGACAGTGCGCGCCTTCTTACGCTGCAAGCTGCCCATCAAATGGATAAACACGGCAACAAGGCCGCTCAGCAGGCCATTGCGATGATCAAGATTGTGGCGCCCACGATGGCACTGAACGTCTGTGATCGGGCGATTCAGCTGCACGGTGCTGCTGGCGTCAGTCAGGACTTTTGCCTGGCGTATCTATACGCAGCGCTGCGCACACTTCGCATTGCCGATGGGCCGGACGAGGTCCATTTGCGCACGATCGCTAAGCTGGAGCTGAGTCAGTCAAAGCTGTAGGGCAAAAACGATCGACGGAGGGGATAGAGAGACTTGACGATCGATACCGCTCCGAAGCGAGTGGTTGGTGCTCCGCGGGACTGAGACTGCAATGGATTGTGATGTCGTCACATGTCGCTCGATCGTGTAATTGTGCTGTTTACGCCACACGAAGGTGTGCAAACTGGACACTCGGGCTGTTCTATGTGCCGGTCTTCACGCAGCCTCAGCCTCTGGACCCATCGAACGATCACCGTAGTCGTTTGCGCACACGTGACTGCGACTTGCGTCAGACTCAAGGAATGATGGGTTTATGTGCATATACTCACTCCCCTGCACGCACTCAAGTGTTGAAGTGCACTTTGACCGTAGTACCTCTGAGACGGCTGAGCTGATCAAAGTAGTACCAAACCCCAGAGGGAGAATTCCATCTTTTCCCTTTCCCTCTCCCCCCCGGGGGGGCCCCCCCAAGGGGCCCCCGCATAAGTGCCATCCAGAGGCAAAGCGTGTGGGGCGGTCGAGTGCCGGGAAAAGGTGCACTTTTCGGTATCCCCCGGCGATGTTCAAGTCGCCTTTCGTTTTGTATGGCATATGTCGGTCAAGTGTGTTTCTTTTTTCTGTACAGGTCGCTGATTGGTGGGAAGATTGTCGCATAGGCCGATCGACGGTCGTCGACCATCGTGCCACTTTTCAATTTACCGCCTCTTTCGCAGTCCTTTTGGCGAACGAGATGCCGCTTCGACCGACCATTGCGAGATTTATCGACAGCCAGACGTCGTTGCCGCTAAACGCGACCGAGCTGCAAGGACCGTCGCGCCGTCTGCTCAAGGCGCGCCATCATGACATTGACAAAATGGACATACAGACCAAGTCGCTGACTGCGACACTGCAGTCCAAAGCCATTAAATTTACTGTGTACAAGGTGCAGATCTGTAGTACCGCCCGCTTTGCCAATAGCGTCAAGTGGACGATCGTCAAGCGCTACTCGGAGTTCTTCAGCTTTCGTCACACTCTGCTCAAGCACATGGAGAAATGGGACCGGCAGTTTTGCGACGACGCGAGGCGGCTACTATGCAAGGAGCTGACGCTCGCGAAAGCGCTGTTGCTGCCGGCGCTGCAGATTCCGGAATTTCCTCGCAAACACCTGCGGTGCGACACCGATATCATTGTCAGGGAACGGCGGAAGAAGCTGCAGCAGTTTGTGCGCGAGATGCTGGACGCGTACGCTGACATTTCAGTGTTTATCTACGACACCCAATTGCGAAACACACGCACCGTCTCTAGTCTTAGCGAAGCTCTTCATATGCTCGAGGAATTTCTACAGTTTCCGCCGCAGCAAAAAGAGGTGAACCGTTGTCAAACTGCTGCTGTCTTGGCGCTGGAAGACGTCGGACCTGAAGACATTGCAAGCTCGATCGCGACGGACCACTCGTGCTGCATTTGCCTGCGCGAGTACGACTGTAAAGAAGAAGCGTATGGGACTAGTGTAGATAGTATGGTAAAGCTTCCTTGCTCGCACCATTTCCACGAAGACTGTATCATCCACTGGTTCAACACTAGCACCACGTGCCCTTTGTGCCGAAAACTTGCATTCGCAGAAGTGCAGCGGTCGTTCGCAGTGCGGATCGAGTGAGTGGTCTCTGGCGCTAATCTTCGGTGTACATGCTCTTGTATAAGCATAGCCGTCCAGGCTTTGTTTCGAGCGTGTACAACTCGTCTGCTCGGACGACAGTCATTCTGTAGCGACGCAACCTCATCGGAAGGATACCCGTTAGTCATAGCTTAACGACAAACCATAACTGACGTAAAAGACGTAGTTGTAACCCATTAGTGTGACATCCGCTTCATCTCAGTTGTCAAACGCTGGACCAGACATGCCAGCTATGCGTTAGTGGTGCATTTGACCCGAAGGTGCACTCGTTGCACACTGTTTGCATCCCTCATAGCCTGCAGTTGTCTCCAGATCAGACCTTTGTTCTGCGCTCTGGATACACGTGGCGCTTCGGTACCAAGCGCCCGTGCTCAAGACGCGCAGTGCTGTCTCTTGCTGCACTCAAGCAGTATTGCCCGCTCAACAGATGCAACATCGAAAACACTACAGCATCAGCAGACAACCAGGCGTTCCTCCGTTTGCTCCCTATCAATGCGATGGTCTTTCCGTAGCTATAATTGTACTCGGAGCAGACTCGACAGAAGCGTATCTGCTTCGTTACAAAGGTCGACAAACAGTGGTTTGGCGGCGCATCAGCTTTCGGTCGTAGAAGAGGTGGCGTGTACATCGAAATGGCGGTCGGTGCACTATGGGGCACAAGACGTTTGTGCTTTATCGCATGTAGGGCGTGTGTTTGTTCGTCTCAACTGGTACTCACATTATCAGAAGAGACTGACGATCTGCACAAATGCTCGTTCCATTGGTAGTTCATTCGATCGCTTAGGTACGATACCGACAGTCGGTGTGGTCCTGTAGCGGTCTTCACTCGAGACACGAAAGAGTCGGTCACCATGTTGAAGTTCAGACCATCACTCTTGCAGCAACCGGTGCGTCCATTGCGCATTTGACCAGTTGACTCGTCGGTCGCAAGCGACACGTGACCAATGAGCGCGTTGCAGCGCGTTTCAATGACCTGCTGGCCGCTCGAGGTGTACGACTACGGGGCAAAGGCGATCACAGACGAGGCAGTGGGTGGCATCGATCTCCACGGAGGCGGCTGGATCCACTGCAAATGGTACTGTACGACTCACTGGTTGAAGAGAAGACCACGAGCTCGAAGCTTCGGACGTGGACTAACATCGTACCCACTGTGTCTGTCTGTCTGTGTGCGCACGTACGTCTGGGCTTTCTCTGTAGGTGCAACACGACGTTGAAGACGACCTCCTTCTCGCTTGGCAGCTGGACGACACATAAGAAGACAAAGACGCACGTCATCTGCGGGCAAAAGACCGTCGGGAGAGACCTCTTGCAGCCTCAAGTCATCAGCTGTTCGTCCCAGTCCTCTGCGCACAGCTCCATGTCCAGTACTATGGACACGCGGAAGCTCGTGTCGGGAAGCCACTTGCTACTGGACCAGGACTCGCTCCTGTTGGTGCGTCGCCATCTCTACAAGAACAAACAGCACCAGTGGCGACTCGAGCGAGACGTCAATCATGTGATCAACGCAATGACGAGCTTAGTCACTGATCAGCAGAGCGACTTGACGACGCTGCGGGACAAAATGAATGACATGGCACAGGAAATCCAACGACTAAGGAACGATCTCGAAACGCTTCGGCGGAAGCGAAGGCAGCAGCCGGCGCCGCCGCTGCAGCACAACGTGCGGGCACGACCGACCGAAATAGCCGCACCGACGTCGTACGTCACTCCTCGTAGACTGAGCGCAAGTTACGGACGTGTTAGCCACGCTATCAAACACGAACCCAGAACCAGGCAGACGGTGCCCACTAGCAACAGCAAACGAAGCAAGAGGATGGCGATGATGGGCAGCTTGTCGGATATGGACGACTTCGAGAAACGCTTTCAACTCAAGGGACGCTGGTGATCAATGCAGAAACGCACGGGACGCTGGAGATATCAATGCAGTTATCAAGCGTTCACGACCCTGGCATACCACTTACTCATCGCATGAGTGACGTGGTCTTAGAAAAACAGTGTACGCGTTTCACTTTCCGTTTGTTCGACGGGGCAAGTAGGACACTTGAATCGTCTGCACGTTGTACAAAACAACGAGCAAGCACACAACGCACACACACACAGACGGTATGAGGTCCACGCAAGGTCACGATCGTAGCTGTCCCTTTACGTCAACAGCACGAACCGAGTCTTGTGGAAGGAGAACCGATTGACACAGGAGCGGCAAATCACATGGCCACATTTCAACAGCATTGGTGGGTTCTCGGAAGTGCTTTCCTCCTTGGACACGGGACACGAAAACACGCTGTGAAACCGCAGCTCTTTTGCAACAGGGATCTCCACCTGACAAAGAACAAGGAGCCCGTCAGGTAAGTCTCTCCTCCTCTCTCATTCTACAACACGAACGACAGCGTGTATCGCTCTCTACATCCAGCCCCACTTACAGGAAGTTCCTCCATGCTGTCCCAGTCAGCCAACTTACTACCCATCACCGACACAAGCTTTCGCATCGCGGGCAGTGCGGATACACCAGCGGACAAGCTGTATGCTCACGCTTAGAACTTCGTAGCTTCCACGATGACCAAAGCACGTACCATGTTTCGAGGTAAGACCGGTGCGGAACACGACGAAGGCGGCAACATGCTTGGATCACGGCATCGTTAATCTCCGTCCAGCGACTATCGCTAAACAGATTTCGATACGGCGATTCGTCGAGTTTTCCCTTGTAGAGCAAGCAGCTCATCAACACGCCCACCTCTAGACACAAACAACATGCATCACATCAACGACACACGTGCGAAGCAGTGACCAGGTGAGTTCATGCTTACCTTCGGCATGTGTCTGATGAAACAACGAAAGTTCTCTGTTGGCGAAGCCAACTGCATCCATCATATCCGGCGAAGTTTCGAGGATATCGACGTACTTGAGTCGCACCAACTGGAACTCGATGTCGATGTCCATCAGCCTTAGTGCCTTCCGATTCTGCCGTGCCCACCTAAAGCACCGTCACGCACAACAAGTGAGAGCTTCGTCATACAGAATGATGTTGCACGCAGCAAACGCGTACTCGAGTGCCGGCTGCACGTCATGCATTGTTATTGCTTTCAAGATACGATGCAGCTCGACATAGCAGTCCCTGTATGCTGGCAGTAGCTCGAGTTTTGCCTCCTGCAAACGGCAAAGAAATCAGAGCTTTCGAAACGACGGCCAGACAAAATCCTCTTTGCAGGTATACACGGCTACCTTGCACAAGACATCCGCCGCATTGATTTGACCGTCTTGATACAAATGCTCTGCAACAAGACGAGACACTAGTTTCTCGTCAAAGTCTTGCGTGCGACACACCTTGGCAATATCTGTACAGAGGTTCTACATCCGAAGAAGCACAGCCACCAAGTCAGTGTTGACTCTCGCCGCGTGCTCTTTGGAACACTATGCACCTTGTCAATGTGCTTGGAATACTTAGACAGCAGCACGTGCATCGACTTGAGCTCACTCGCGACGTTCTTGTCAACATTCAGTCGCTGCACCCGTTCAACAAAGTCCCTGATGATCGACTCCGTCTCATTATTCTGCAACCCAATGGTCTCCGCGTCTTTTGATTCGAGATCGGACTTCTCCAGAGCGCGCGACCTCTCGGCACTAGTGCTGTCGCTCGTTTGAGTCACTTCATTCTGTGTCAATTCACGACAGTCAGTTGTTCTTACGGGCGGCGAACCCGACGGCCGGTAATTGTTCTTCTTGCGGTACACCTCCTCCTGCCGCTTCATAAGCCGCTGCTTGGTCTTCTCCACGTGTGTCAGGAGCTCGTCCAGGTGGCGGTCGATCTGGTCGGCACTGAGCCGCTGCTTCTTCAGCACGCGCTGTCCTTCGTCCTCTACTGTCTCCATCGCTGCAGGCGTACGGGTTACGCGTGACGCTTTTTTAGAGCAAATCAGATTTAGAAATGCGAGCAAATAACTTCAATGTGAGAGAGTGGGTCTCTGATACGGGGAGGTCGACGGAGTGGTACCTTCGTAAGCGTCTGCCACGTGATCAGTTTGAACGGGGCTAGACGGTCAAAGCGAAGTAATCTATCTCGCTAACGACGTGCTGGTTGCAACAAACTCCAGGTGGTTACGAGAACCGGTAGTTAACCTGTCGTCGACATCAAGTGCTCCAAAGTTGCTGTGCGAGCTGAAAGGCATTGGTTTTGGCCATGCCATGTTGAGGCTGTTAAGAGCAGTTTCTAACGAGGGCTGTTGCAACGAATGGCCTGTGGTTTTGGGTCCACCCTCCACGACTGCACCACCTGGCAGAATATTCCGACGCAGAAGAAACACGTGCCACTTCACGCCTTCCTCGTTTTTACAACCAACGGGTGGCTTGACCACTCCTAATTAGCGGCGCTCGCATTGTCTTCGAACCCCTCCGATTCGACACTGCGCACTCGGATTTACGCCGCATCGACCGCGCGCGTCCGTTTTCCTCACTTTCTAACCGCCGGCCGCCGCCGCTATGTTCCTCTTGAAGCCACCGGCGTCGCCTCTCGTCGCGGCCTCTGATCCGCCTCAGCGACGCGTGCGCCTGAGCGCTCCCGAGTGGAAGTACGTCGCCGAAGGAGGTGCGAACGTTCTGTTCCGTCATCGACCGACCGACAAATCGCTCGCGTCTCGTGCGGTGGCAAAGGAGTTCAAAGGCAAATTGCTGCGCGTGAAGAAATGTGACGTTGTGCCGCCAAAAAGTAGCAGCAACAGCAGCAGCAACAAAAGTAGCAGCAACAAGACGTAACAGCAGCAGCAGCAGCAGCAGTGACCAGGCAAGTGCAGGTTTCGGCAGTGAGAAGCCGTATGTACCCCATTACCCGGACCCCCGTCAGGTGCTAAACTATGCGACCCACGAGATTATGCCGTTCCTCGAGCAGCAGCTGCAGCGCCGCGCCACTCGTCTGAACGCGCGAGTGAATTCGTACTTACAGGTGGCTGAGCTCGTGACAGTCGATCGCGGGTTCTTACAGGCTCTGAACGTCGAGTTACTGGCGCTGGAGCACCGACCGGAGCACCGACGGCAGAGTCAAATTGACGTGTCGCTGCAGTGTGTGATGGTGTTACCGGACGTGACGCTGCCACCGCCTACCGACGAGTCAACGCCCTATATCTTTCAGTCCACGAGGAGTTTGCTGGAAGCTGAAGCACGGGATGCAGAAGAGACGGACGAGCGTCAGGTCTCGGACGAAGAACTGTGGGAAGTGACGTCGGATACGGAGCAGGAAGAAGGAGAGCAATGGCACGAGATTGACGGCGACATTGGGACAAGAAATCAGCACAAGGAATCAGGTTCTAGCAGCACAAACAAGAGCGTCACTTTGGATCAAGGAGACCAAGACAAGACCGAAGTGGTGCAGCATGAGCCGCCGACTAGTGCATCGAACTGCGTCGGTGGTCTGGAGCGCGGGAGGGGACCACACGCTCTCAATCGTGCGCACAGCTCCTCGTTCCGTGCTGGCAATGTCTTTGATTGCTGCTTTCGCAACATTTGCGTGGAGCTCAAGCCCAAGATCGGCTTCAAGCCAAAGTGTCAACTGGTGGGTCCAACAAAGGCACGCGTGTGCCGCTTTTGCATGCACCAGTACTACAAGAAGCGCACCGGTAAAGTGGAAGAGGTCAGCCGGTATTGTCCGTTGGATTTATTCTCACGGGATTCGAGTAGGAAGCGGCGAGCGTTGCGAGATTTGCAGCGGACGCCTCAGAATAACTTCAAGGTGTTTGTGCGCTCGGCGGAAGATGAGGTTGTGAACGTCATCACTGGGTTGAATGCTGATGCGCTCCCTAAAGGCGCAGCTCAGTCGCGATACTCGTATTGCCAACGGAAGCAAATGGGCTTCCGCCACTCGTGCCAGTCGATCGGCGCTGAGCACGACATGGCTTTTGACGAAACGTTCGAGCATGAGCGTGATCACGCACAACTGATGCCCGAAGTGGTTGAGCTGATCACACAGGTGCTACAGGACCTGTCCATTTTAGACGATCTGAAGCAGATGCAGTTGCTGGACCACATTTCAGTCGACGGCATGTGGCACCTCCAGCTATTGCTGCGGAGACTCGACGAAGAGAAGCAGCGCGAGCAAGAGACGTCGTGTGAAGACACGACTGTAGGTCACCTGGTAGCTGCAATACGGCAGCGGTGTAGCTTTCCTACCGACGAGGACGTTGATCACAAGGGTAGTCTTGCACGCGGGCTGGCGTTCTTGCGTGTTGCACTGCACCGTGTGCCCGAGCTGGATGTCCTACGAGATGTCAAGTCGTGGGAGACATTACGTCTCCAGCAGTTTCACGACTTGTACTCGGAGCTGGAGAAACGATTCCAGGTCGCGACAACGCTGAAGGACTGCTCGCTGCTGTTGTGTTTGCGCCGCTCACCCGGTGACGACGCCGATCGAGAGGGTGACTCCGCACCAGCAAACACACGGCCTCGTTTCCAGCATCTGATGGAGTTTGAACACCACGTGCGCTTTCGCAATTTGGCCTTCGACTGCGTCGTGGCGATCGTGGACCTGGACGTCAAGTCGCACAAGTCGGTGGAAGACTATTACCGATTGGACGAGAAGATTGCGTTGAATTTCCACCGCGAGTTTGGCGACAGTGGCGTAGCGCAGGCGCTATGCCGGGAAGAATGAGCGGTTGGTCTCTTTGTCCACTGGACCGACTCGTCTGTCGTCGCGTACAGGCGCGTGGACAGATTTGACGCACGTGGGCGTTGGATCTGCCGCCTCCTTCTTGACTGACTGACTGGGCGCTGGACGTCGAGGGATTCGTTGTTTCGCCTGTTCGGGTAACGAACGGACTCACGCGCGCGCTTTGGTTTGTGTACCCGCTAGAAAGTCGTCGATAACTCACTGCCACTGCCAACAGCAACAACAACAACAACAACAACAACAATAACACACACCCCACCAACAACAATAACACACCCCCCACTACCAACGACAATTACATGCCATGAGTTCATTAGGTGTGCGAGGTCTTTTTCAGCCCCACACGAGGAGCTAATGATCTCCACACGCATCGAGTCGCGACTTACACAGACCGATCGACAGTGCAGCACGTCGACTCTTCGAGTCCCACTCACTCACTCACTCACTCACTCACTCACTCACTCGTTCACTCATTCACTCATTGCCCACTGTGTTGCTGCTCCCTCCGCCTGCTCTGCTGCCTCCCAATCGCTTCTTCATCTTCAGCTGCTGCTGCTGCTGCTGCGTCACTTTGATCGACTGGGCCTGAAACTCCTGTTGCTGCTTGTCGCGAACGTGTGCCGCCGCTTGCTGGAGAACAGCCACGCGCGTCGGGTCTGCTCGGGAATGATGCACACATCTCACCGCCAGTCAGCGAAAGGGCACGTGAGTAACGAAACTGGTCGAAACGCTGTAGCGTTCGAATCGAACGGACTCATTCCACCCCCCGCGCACGCACGCACGCACACGGCCATTGCGTGGGCTCGAGGAGCGACGCACTGACCTTACGACGCGTTCGGGCGACCGAACACAACGTATGGACACGAAGTATGGACCTACCGGTGGCAGCAGCAAAAGTGCGTCGAAGGTGGCGCTGCGCCGCGTATTCGCGATAGCGTTTGCGAAGTACGTGAACGAGTAGCACAGCACACAGGAGCGCCCAGCCGTGACTTTCCAGCGCCTGTTGCACGTATAGCCAGAGCGGTCGATGAAGCATCGGCGCGAGGTCGTGTGGCCGCGTGGGAGTCTCTCGAAGATCCCCCAGAGTGGTGTTCACCTGACCCCTCTTGTCTGAAAAGTATACTCGAAGCAAGACAAGTTGGTGCTGCTGAACCGTTTGGAGGAGGATGTGGCACAGCCAGCCAGCCAGACGATCTCGAATCCACGGATAGAATCCACGGATACGGCGGCAGTAGTAGGAGATACAAAGGCAGTAGTAGGAGATACAACGGAAGGAGAGGTAGATACGTGGGCAGTAGTAGTAGATACGTAAAGAGGTGCGTACATGGACAGTGAGTGAGCCACTTGCGGCTGATTTCTAGACTGCCTCACTTGCTGCCCGTGTTCCGGCGCTTTCGGGCCACTCGACGTCCACGGCCTCGTCACGAGGTGCCATATATTTGACGCACGACCCGCACGAGATGCAACACTTTTTTTTCTCGGCTCGATGGCGACTTTGGTGCTCGTTCCGTTGGCTTTAGTGCTACTGCTCAGCGTCGTCTGCTTTGCGCTGTTGCGCAGCAGGTTACGATCACGCGCGACGCGCACGAGTCGTCTCGGAAAGCACTGCAACGAGGACGCGCACGTGTGGACGAGCAGCGACTCTCTAGGGCCGAAACTGCAGGCAGAAACGTCTGGGACACGCGGCCCAGTCGCCACGGGCAAATCCCGTCCCCTGTGTCTGACAGGCGACTGCGCTTTGCACGTTGTTGTTGGGGTCATTTTCCAACGTGGGCTCGAAGTCGTACACTACGTGACGGCAGTGCCATTGCTCATGGTGAACCAGCTCGACCGCCAGTTGTTCTGCATGACGAGCGTGGACGCGAGGACCGCGCGGCTCCGAGCGGACCAGAAGAACGCCGAGTTGCTGAGCGGACACGAGGGCGACAGGTTTCCAGGACTGTCGACGTGGAGCGACGACGAAGCGCCGGAAGAAGAGCTGAGCGGCTCGTCTTCGGACGGAGAGAACAGCGACGTGGGGGAGGCGATGCGCGCCGAAGACGTCGTACCGGAGACGATCACGGCCCCGTCACCACATCTCTTTTTCGACGGACTCGAGTTCTACTTGGCCGTGAGTCAGGTGCGCGAGCGCACGGTCCGGTCGATCGTGACGCTCGGGGTGGCCAAAACGCTGACAACGCTGCGCGAACAGCAGCAAAACGAGTCGATCGCTGTCATTGAGCAGCAGTACCCCGACTTTACGTGTCTATTGACGGGCGACCAGAGCACTTCGGTTCGGCAGCCCGGGGAGACAGGCCGTCGTCCCATGGACTTGCGCACGGCGTTGCAACTCTCGTGGCACGAGGTCACTTCATTATAAGAGACGACGACCGTCCCCGCCTCGCTGCAGACGCTGTGCTGCTCAAGTATCGCAAACTACCTATATCTCGTCGTGCGTGGCACTCTCGACCCCCTCGACGTGTATCAATAATAATGAATAGAAGATACGCTGCACTGCTTTTGTGATCACAAAACGCTTCGACTCGGCGGCCACCGGCCACAACGTTTGTTTGCAAACGTTTGTGTCGCAGTTGTTCGCTTGACTCGAGCTGTATTGCTACGACTGTTTTCGGTGCGTCTTGTCTCCTTGTTCGTCAGCAGGTGCCAGAAATTCTGCATTGCTGGCGTCGAGGGAGTACGAGACGAACTAGGACCTTATGTGGCGTCAGCAAGAGTGTAGTTGCGATTGTATTCGGTGTAGTAATTCCGGACGACAGCGCCGGCGCCCATCTTATGGTACAGAGGGTCTCGTGTATGCAGTAGACGGCATGTAGGGCAGTCGATCTAGTAGTAGAGCGAGTAGGAGTCATGCGTCTCGATACGAATCGCAAACGCTGAGGGAGACAGTGTGCGGTATTATTCGGTAGGCTACACAAGTCGAAGATAGTTTGCAGGTGTAAGTGTATTGCCAGACAGTTTGCAGGCAGTTTGCGGACAGTTTGCTTGAAATGTGTTATTTATAGTATTTATATATTGAATTGTTGATGTGTAGTACGTCGTCCGCGTGGCCTAATGGATAAGGCATCGCCCTCCGAAGGCGGGGATTGGGGGTTCGAGTCCCCTCGAGGACGCTTTTTCGTTTCTGCCCGTTTTCGTTCTGCCCCTTTTTCGTTTCGACCTCGCACTTACTGGAGAAAAACCGATCATCCGTCATACCGTTACTTCTAAACAGCGTCCGATGGGTCCGCGCGGTCGAAAGTCTGAAGTACGATCGCGTACTGGCTCTGCTGATTCGAAATGAGACGTAACCAGCTGCTGTGTGTTGTTGTCTCACGTGCGTCACCGCACCCGACGGCCTACCTATAGGATCACGTATACATTCGAGCGACCTTTGCACGAACTGAGGAGGAAGAACCTACAACGCTTTTTCAGGAAGAGCTGTGGCTACGGAGAGACGTGGAACGCCACTGTAGGACAGACGATCTAGAGATCCATGAAACAGGCGACTTGCATTGATCGTTTGACAAAAGTGTGGGACGACGATGTCGGAATCGGACATGACGGGAGGGGTGACATAGACGGGAAGCGCAAACGGGTATAGCGAGCGAGACGACGACCGTCAGAGAGTTTCGGAAGCGATAGCAGCACTCAGATCGTAGTTGCTATTGCTCATATGGCAACGTGCGACCATCAGAAGACAGCAGGAACAAGATCAAGACGCTTGGACGTTGGCCAATCTCGCATCGATCGTGGCAAGTGCGGTGCGCGTAGCTCTGATGCAGCTCGCGTCGAGAACCGCCACTTCTCTTTGTTAGGAGGCTGCAGCAATGTGACGGCCGTGGAATCAGACTCAAGTTTGTGGGTTGTCATGCATGCAGGGACGACGAAATAGGCGCTCCAGCGGTAGAAGTGTGATGCAGAAGGCAAAACGCATTGATACTCGAGTGATCGCACAATGCAGTGGACTTTGACGTAAGACCAGCAGGAATGCGTTGACAAGGTGAGCCTCGAGGCTGGTAGGCCCAACGCTCAACAGAAGAACACACATTTGTGATGTGAAGTTTGACTGGAAGCCGTGCGATGCGAATGCATGAGCGTGTTGAGGAACAATTACAGTGTATGTCAGAGTGGACGTCATCATCGATCTTACTGTGCGCTGTGGCTAGTAGAGACGCCGCTTCGCTTGATCTAGTACTGGTTCATCGTTCACACTGCAAGGCAGGAGACAGCATGTGGTGGACAATGGTCAAATGGTTGCCATCTCGAACAAATTGAGCTCGACGGCTGAAATCATCGCAGTTCGAGCCAGCTGTCCGTCGGTGGCCATCTTCTTCGGTGGTTGGCCAAGCTGCTACGTTGGGGCTACCGCTGCTACGCTGCGTCTGCGAGCACATACGGAAAAGCATCGTTGCACAAAGGCTCGTCATAAACAATTCGATAGCAGCTGAAGCGTATACGATGTAACACTGAGAGAGGTGAGCAGCGTGTTGTGCTGCACGATCAAGGTCAAGGGTGGCGTCGTATTGTATCGATACTGGATACGACCTAAGCTGCTGTGCGCGTCATTGTGCAGAGAGCTTGACGCAAGGCGCTATCCTACACGTAAGTCGCATCGCATGGCCACGCAAGACAGACGATGCGGCGGGTGCGATTGTTCTGCAAGCAGTCAGGATCGACAAGAAGAGCTCAGCTTGCAACACTAAGGAGTAGGCACTGGCAGTGCATGGAGTGCAAATACCGTGTGAGATCATTTGTTGACGTCTACAGACCATCGGTGTCAATGTACATTGCCATCAGCTTTTTCTCCCTTCCGTAGCCAAAAAGAGGGCATAGTACAGTGATCAGTGACGTCTTTACCATTGTCAGCTTCGCATGCCGTGACGTCGGTTGACATGGAAGGAGCTCACGTACAGCGATAACCCTCAGGAAGGCCTGGATGTAAACACTGCGAGTCTTCGTTACAACTAGAGCTCGTGTGGACTTGAGCCGAGGTACATAGCACAAATGGTAAGCGTATGCGAGAGCACAATCGAGCAGTCACATTCGTGGGCTGCCCTGCCCCCTGCAGCTTAGACTTCACCAGTTAGACTGCTGACAATGTCCACGACGGCCTCCTTGGCACGGGTGGCGAACGAAGGCAACAGGACGGACTCTGTGGCTGCGATTTGCTGTTTCAAAGCAGCAAATTCGCTGAGACTTTCGTGCAGAGTCGACGCCATCACCCCTTCGACCGTGTCAGGAGCCTTGAAGATGTCTCTGCCAATGCGTTTGTGCCCGAAGAGTCCTCGTTTCGACTTGTGTGTCTGCGGCTGACCGTCACCGCTGTCGAATGCTCGAGCTCGACTCGCCGTCGAGGTGCTGTCGTTGACACCCATGATGGTGTCAATGACGCTCGTGAGACTGTCGGGGTCGCCCGGCGTTTGATTCTGGTCGTAGATTCGACCAGATTGTTTCAGATCGTTCATGGCATCGACTGCGGCGTTCGTACTCATGCGCGCGGCTTTAATCTCCGACATGGTGGGGCTCTTGCTCGTGCTGATCCGTCGAGCCACGTACCGCAAGTCCCTCGCAATGCTTTTTGCGACGCGAATGTCGCTCCTCATAGAGTAGTAGGACGACTGGCGCAAGTACGCGCCACGACGTCGATCGTACTTGCCGAGGACCCTCTTCAGCGTCTTGAGACTTTGCGTGATGCTGTCCGCTGCCTTGGCGAGCGAGACCTTGAGCTTGCCGAACGCTTGCTCAGTGGCAGTAGGCGTGCTGCGGTCACGAGCAGCTTTCGTCATATTGCAGCATCAATGTAGACGTTCGAGGTGGGTTTCACGATGGCAACTGACGAACGTGGACGATGGTGTTGTTTTTCTCTGTATCAGAATGAAGCCGTTGTGTGAGAATAGCTCCTGGAGTTGATGGCTGAGAGGCTGAAAGTGACCATTGCGACCTGAATGTGCATGTCTCAGTTTACTAAGCGCGTGAGGTGATCGCTCTCGTCACGAACAAGCGGACAAAAGCGTTGCCGGCTCTTTTGCACCGGTCGCGACAAGAGCGACTTGTCCGACATAGTTTGTGCATATCGCACGAAGACGATTTATGCACGAGAACGACGGACCCGTGCGGGTGCGACATGCATCTGCCCACTTGCAGCCATGAGGGAGCAGCAATATCAGCACAAAGTCTGCTGACGGCAGCCATTAGGCCCATCCACACGTTGGCCGTTCACGTGGCAGGCGAATTCCTTGACGCCCGTTCCCACAATTCCTTTTCGTATTCCAAACAAGTACGTGCTCTCGGGTCACACGGCACTTCGAATCGAGCTGCGAACGATGGGCAGGTCTTCCATTGACCGTAAAGTCATAATAAGCGAAGAGTTTACATCGCTGGCAAAAGTGCTGGTTCGAACGGCTGACGACGCGGCCACGTGCCTGGAGACGCTGAAGAAGAGGTTGTCCGAGTTTGACAATCTCCATCACAGCCACGACCTTCACGCAGCGAAAACGTACATGCAGAGCGACATTCGTAAGGCTAAGTACATCTCAGCGGCGCTGAAAAGCGTGGCCCAGCAGATACGTCAGAACCTCGATAGGCCTTCCAAAACGGACGTAAAAGCCGCTTACAGCATGATGAATAGCACTGCTAAGGCGATGGGGTTCTTGGTCGTGACGGCCCACAACTACGATCTGAGAATGGAGCAGTCGGAGCGGAGGGTCAAGGACGCAGATAAAGTGGCTGCCCACGAGCGCGACCAAAGAAATGAGCGTGACGAGGGTGGCAACCCGGCAGAAGTCTGCAGTGCCGACTGTCTAAGGCACTCAGACGACACTGTTGAAGTGCTTGTGAGGTCGACGTTGCGTGACAACTTCAGCCTCAACGGCTTGAGCTGCCAAGCCAGTGCTGCGGAAAACGCGTTGCTGTTGCTCTCCATTATCGATCGCGCCAAAGAGGTGGTGCGTGATATGAAACATAAGCTCAAGGGCAAGTCGAGTCCGGCGTACACGACTGACCGATCCGTGACCTCGATGAAGAACATTTAGTCGACGATCGATGATAGTTGTCATTCTCCTCGAGGCAGTGGGTGCCCACTAGTAAGTACATCAGCATTTTATCCTGTACCAGTGCATACCACAATACATAGCTTTGACGACAGGTTGTAAAGCCCATGTTTTGTGTGCGCTTCCGACATATCGCACGGCACTGTCCTTGCTGTAGAATTGCTTGACCATTAATTCACAATTTGACCGACGCCACCCAGTGGCTGCATCGCTTGAGGATGACACTATCCCTCCCTCCTCTTTCTCTCTCACTCCATCATCTAGTAGACCTGTCTATCATAACTATACACATCGCGCAGGCGCTCAATCACTCGCTGCCGCTTGGCACTCACACCTGGTTGCTCGACGTCAAGGCGGCCGGCCCGGCCGAGACGGATTTATCTGCGAGAGACGGCAGGTCGCGCAGCATGAGCACAGCTTCTTCCAGCGAAATCGTAGGGTCGTTGGACAGAATGCGCTTGAGCAAGTTCGTAGCGGCCAGCGCGTCTCTCAATCGGCTCTTGGCATTGGCCATCGCAAAGCGCACTTTGCGCACCGCCAGCTTCTCTTGCGTGTCCGACATCACTTGAATCGTTGTTGCGTCCATGTCGTTCATGTGGAACATGTCCAACACCACTCCACGCGTCGTGATCCCCATCGTCTGCAGCCGCATCATCTCGCGTTCAATGCATTGTGCGACCCGTTCGCAGTTGGCAAAGTACAGTGAGCCCTCCACACGAACGGCAATGATGTCGCCCAAGTGCTTTGCCTCTGGATACACTGCCCGGTCAACATAGCTGCCGTTCTCGAGCTCGCCCAGAACGACAATGGGCTGCACCTTGGACTTCCACATGAGCGCCAAGATAGAGCAGACGATCGAGGCGATCAAGCCGTTGAGCACGCCGAGACCTAAAGTCATGGAGAACGACGACGCCCACACGAAAAAGTCGTCCCGCTTGACGCGGTACAACCACTTGGCCTCCCGGAACTCAACCAGAGTCCAGCCAGCTACGATGATGATGGATGCCAGCGTCGCACTGGGCAAGTAGTACAGCAATCCTGTCAACGTGTACAGCGAAAGGATCACAAGGAGACACGTGATGATCGAAGCCACCTGCGTGCGGGCATTCTGCAAGTTGACAGCCGTGCGCGACATGCCACCGGTGGGCGGCACGCCCTGGAAGAACCCACAGATGACACTGGCAATGCCAATGCCAGTCAGCTCCTGCTCCGTGATAACGTTCTCTCCGCGCTGGATGGCCAAGCGCTTGGCCATCGATATGCTCGACAGGAACACCACAATGGACGCGGTGACGGAGTTGTACAAGATCGTGCCGAAGCGATCAGTGTGAATGAGGTGCGCGTTGAAGCCGTACCACGGCACTTGGGGGCCCGGGAACCCGCCCGAGATCGTGCCCGTCAAGATGATGCGGGACGGTCCCAGCATGTGGCCGACAGTGCCTCCGAAGATGCAGACGACGAACGGCCCGAGGTCGCAGAGCATCCGCAGTAGGAACCGAGCGAACTGGAACCCTTTCGACGTGGGCACGTCCCGCGCGCGTTCGCTCTTCCGCGCGTCGGCCATCGACTCGCGCTCGTCGACGGGCGTCGGTTGGGTCTGGTTGGCCGCGTACGACAAGTCCGAGAGGGAGAACCCCTGGCCCGAGTTCGTCACCGGCGCGAGGAAGCGCTCTTCTTCGTCGCCTTTGCCCGGTTCCTTGACGATGGACGTGTCGTCGCTATTGAAGAGCTGCAGCTGCACGGGCGACGGGAAACACCGTCGCTTGATCTTCTTGAGGGCGATGAGGTAGAGGCACGAGGCCGCCGCGACGCCGAGCGCGTTCACGTTCGTGTGCTGCACGTTGCGCAGCAACTCGTACACCTTAATCGGCGGGTACTCGGACGACTTGACCGTGATCCCGAGCGCATTGCAGACCTGCGAGAGCATAATGAGTAGTCCGCCTGCAGAGATGAAGCCGCCCATGACGGGCCGCGAGAAGAAGTCGGCGATCTGACTGAGGTTCAGGACCCGGAGCAAGAGCAGGATGGCGCCAATGAGGAACGACATGAAGATGACGGTCGCAATGCGCTCGTCTTCGTCTTCAATGTCTTCCAGCGTCGAGCCCACGAGGAGCGAGACTTCCGAGCCACTGGCCACCGACAGCACTGTGCTCGAGCCAAAGATCGGGTACACGAGCGGCGAGATCGCGGCCGTGTGGAGGCCGTAGTGCGCCGGCACGTGCATGATCGTCGAGAGCGAGACCTCCTGCGGAATGAGCATCATGGCGACTGTGATACCCGCGACGAGGTCGTACTTGAAGTCGCGCTCGAAGCTGTACTCGGGCAGCCAGCGGAAAATGGGCGCGTAGTGCTGGAGGCGTTGCCGCCACGTGGGCGGCGGCAGTGCGAAGCGGTCGGTGCTGCTGCTGCTGCTGCTACTGCCGCCACAGAGCGCCCGTTGAAGCCACGACATGGGGCAATGGACAGCGGCCGAAGGACGTGCACGAGGAGCGGCGAAACGCGAAATGGGCGCAATCGGCACGGGGCGATATGGCTCCCCGAGTCGGCATCAGGTCGGGGGAACAGGTGGAGGCTGTGGATGACGGGGGAGCGCTCGGGTCGGCTCGATGGAGCCAAAGAAAAGGACCGCAAGCTGTGCGGCAGGGCGGCCGCTGGCTGCCAGACTGGAGAGGAGCAGCAGTAGCAGTATACAGTGCCGCCGTCGCGAAGACGTGGGAAGAAGACCCCATCGGATCGGAGACGCAGATCGGATGGATTTGCACGCTCTGCGAAAGAGAGCGGACGTGGCCGCGCGGGTTTCTCGCTCGATGGCGATGCGCGGAGCGGCGTGGCAGCCACTTGCTCAGGAATGGCGCGTCAGCGGTGTTGCAGGCTCAGGAAAACGGGAAGCGAAGGGACGACACAAAGCTTAGAGACACTGCGACGTGTCTGTGTGCGTGCCGTTGACTTGACGCGGTCCGTCCGCGGCCAGCAGGCGTCGACACGGAAGAGGGACACGCACAGGACCTGCGTTTCCACGTGGGTCTGCCGATCCACCTGACCCCGCAAGACAGACAGACGTCGCAGCTCGCAGCTGCAACTCACGTTCGCATGCGAGTGCGATTTGACAGCGACAAGTGGACGTGACGAATCTCGGCGCAGATTGTCGGTGCGAAGGAGGCGAGAGAGCTCGGGGGCGCTCGACCTGCTTTCGGCAGATTCCGCACACGTCTGCTTTTTGAGGACACACGAACGACAGCAGGCGGTGGGCCAAGATTCAGTCACGTTGGAGCTCTGGCCCTTCGTGAAGCTGTTGAGGGGACGCGACACGCGCAACTCGCTGGTAGCCCAAAGCGCATGTGGTGGCGGACGATAGCGTGACGTCACTCTCGCAGTGCTCTTGTCACAAGGGAGTAGTCGATAACTCGCCTGGCTGGAGGTCTGATCAGGCAGGTAAGTACATGAGGAGAAAGCTCTCGCTCAAAGCACTTGATGATGTTAGGCAACACCACCGTAAGCGTTGCTCCCTTCTGCAGTATATCCACTGCTGGTTCACCATCCACTGTTGACACCACAGTCATGACCATTGTCAACACAGTCTTGACCATTGTCACCACAGTCTTGACCATTGTCACCGCAGTCATGACCATTGTCACCACAGTCTCGACCTTTTCGTGCGGTAGCAAAAGACCCGTTCACCTACGAGAGCGCTCGTTCGAATCTTGGAAAAGCCCCTCGTTGGGGGTAAAGAAAGACCGATCCAGCAAACCGCCGCACACTGTCAGAAGCTGCCGTCGTCGCAGCAGCTCACATGGATGTAGACTCAGTGTGAAGACAGTCGACGTCATACTAGCCAGACAACAAGCGTCAGCCACCACTGGTTGATTCGACTCGTTCGGCCTACAGAGTCTGGAGCTATCGAAAGGCTCGACGAACAAGATGGCTTGCACTAGAAAGCGCGTTTGACAAGAAGCTCCTGCAAGAGATCGAGGGAAACGAATCTACCTGAGGTAACTCGTTTCCCGCTGACGCATCACGTAAAATCTAGCACACAAAATTTCTCTGAGCCGTGCTATGTGTCCAGATCGCATACTCTGATCCGTAGGGCTATAGCCCGTGACGACAAAACAGCAGGAGGATCGGAAGACAGAATCTGGTCGGGACCCCACGGGAAGCCCGTGTCTCACGTGTTTAGGCAAGGAGGGATCGCTTACAGCATGAAAAAGACACGTCGTCGCAATCATGCAGGAAAGGCGCAGCGCGCCAATTCGACATGAACACATGTCACACTCGTAGCGACGAGTGTTGCTCTGCTCTCTGCACTTCGAGTAGTAACTTTGCCTCCAGACAGCTCGTCGGTTTGAGCCCGTGCTTTACTGCGTTTGAACCAAAAGAGTTATCAAACTCATGCACTCCTGCAGTCAATATTCAGCATTGGACCAGTTGGACGTACCTTTTGCACGATATAGCGGGGGACGAAAATGTAAAAAGGTTTGTAATGCAGCGCACGTCACGCCACTACGTCTCGCTAGGCTTTCACATACGCGGCTGGTTACGACTTGAAGATGCTTTGAGCGCAATCTGGCAAACATGGGCACACACGGCATGTCGAAATAGCAGCTACACGTAGCTGTCTGGACTTCCGTCACCATGGCTTCTGGTGCTTCTGTGCACAGAGACGTTCATAGCGTGGCAAAAGTGCAAGAAACGGCGTATCGTCACCAAGCCCTGGAATGTACCGATGAAGCCAGGGGCGCTCCGACCAACAACAAAGAGGCGGATATCCAACACGTGAAGTGTCATACAATTGTTTCCACAGACCGCTGCGGCGCGATTCAGCTGATGTGACTTCCTACTGATTGCAGACGCCAAGGATGGTGGACATGTCATTCCGCAGTCATCATGCGCATCTCCTAACACTTTTGGACGGATGCAGTCGTCCCATCAACCTTGCTCACTGCACTCGTGTGCACATTTGTGGCACTTAGTGCTCTCATATGTTACCGACGCCTTCAACAAGTATGCTTCTCACCTAAAGCGTCGGATTCAATGTTTGCCTGCAGGCGTTCTGCTGAATAATTGCCTTTACACAATGCTCACGGATACACGTCACGGTGCATTACGTGCTCTGTGTGGAAAGGCAAGATGTGGGATGGAGCAAGTCTCTTTCGTTGGATTAAGACAAAACGAAGGTGCTACGATGGGAATGGCACCGTCTAGTTGCAAATGCTTGTCTTGCAAAGCCGCGTCTTTTGGGTCAGGCCACACGACCAAGTGCGTTCATTTTTGCATCATGGACGGCTACAGCACTAGTGCACGTCAAGTATTGACCATCCCAAACGTTTTGGGGGGACGTTGTATTTGAATGAGCAACGACAGGCAACTTCATTGATAATAATTCGGTACCTCCCCTAAAATCTGCTTGTATGACTCGTGAAGTACTGGTACGAATGATTGCGCCGGTACTTCCCACGGGCTGCCGGCTGCTTTGTCAACCTGTTTTTGAAGACATTCTACCTTTTATGGCCGACTAGCTTGAGTCCGACGATGCGGGACCATACAACAAGGCAAGAAGGCGGCGGGAGCGACCAAACGTTTCAAGGCACACAAGGTTCCACAAGACCATTGGTTTAAAAATGGGCCAACCGTTCCTGTCTGCCTATCAACCTTCATCGTGATTCGATGAAAAGCTAAGCTGCAAACGTCCTAAACGCAGTCAACTTCTTGCCAAAAGAGTGTGTGCTGACAAATATAGCCACCTGTGAAAGGGGCTGAACGACGAACTGACATCGAAGTTTGATTCTTATGTAATCTTGTTACTACAGTTCAGGGGGGTGCACACGCGGGACCGTACAATTGTGTGACAAGAGCAGGTTCTCACGTAGCTCAAAGCTTGAGATAGGTTTAGGCTGGACAAATTAGTACAATGTAACGCTGCAGGTTCATGATAATCATGGTAAACGGGTCTCCGATCATTACAGTCGAAACCTGCATTTCACATTACAATAAATTATAGTCAGATTGCAGCAATATATCCCTGGGACTTCTTACAATATACTGCGTTTAATTTATCGTCTCCATCATAACAGGATGAGGAGTGTGATAAGCAAATTCATTCATATTCCCACATTCCATCGTGAGTTGCCTACATGCCTTTTAATGCATGTACATACTGTACCCTATTTTGTCAACCCTCTTTGACCTACAGTCGATCCACTTTCCATGGCGTTCCAGCCAATGCCACACCTTGTCTGAGATCATATCTCGTACCCGGGTCGAAATTTAGCAGCGTTCCACGATAGTGAGGTCCAAAAACTTACCGTAGAAATTGATCGATATTTTTGGCAACATCACACGCGTTCATGTCGCCAGGCGAAGGATGTTAGTCTCACTACTTTGTGCTTTCGACGCATCAGCGTGTTGGACTTTCTGACAGGGAATCAAAGTCATGAATACTTACCTGATGCTCATACATTGATCAAAACGTCTAAAGGGTAGAACCTCACTTGAAGCCGTTTTTACAAAAAAGTATGTCTTGCTCACAGGTAATGTGATATATAGCCCATAACTTTCAGAGGCTGAGCTCTGTTCACCTCCACTTCCTCGAGGAAAATCAGAACCTAGTTATATCTAAGAAGGCGTCTCACGCCTTTTGGGACAACTCCTCGCGCCGAACCAACTCTCTGGTTTGCGACGCGATAAGTCCGATACACGACGACATCATAATATTGAACGAGTATGAAAATTCTGCCTTTGTGAATCAAAATATGCAGCACTGCACACAAAACTGATGTAAAGCCTATTTACGACAATATCTAGTAGCAGCTGACAAAATACTTCACTTTCAATATTGAAGCCTACTGACTTAATCATCAATATCATTAAGCTAAAACGCGACGCGCAATGAGTAGATAGGATGGTCACCATCATGTATGCAAACGGATCGCTGCATTGCTGCATGTGGCCAGGTGCGAAATTGCAATGCAATGCATTGATTGTAACTGTGCTATTCACAATTTTACACATTTTTATCCGCAAAAGCCCTCATTACAATCATCCATCCGATACTCGATTTTACTTTGCGGAGGTGCAAAAGAGAAGAGCATCTTCTTTGACCCATTGATACCCGAGTCATGGTTGCGGCAGTTGGGCCATCACGACGCCGAAAACAGATTAGCTGCGCAAATGAGTAACTATAGAACGATCTGTCGACGAACAAGACGTCGAATCGATCCTACTCGATATTTCATCACTCTTCTTGTGTAATTGACGACGCGAGGTTAGGATATGCATAATGATGTAAATCTACCATGTCACGTGGTATACATAATCTGTTTGTATGCCATCAGAGAGACACGTGACCGGCGATAACAGTCTTGTGGTAAAACGATTCCTTTAAATGATGGACCTGAAGGCCAATGTATTGAAGAGATAGGTGAACACCGCTCAGGGAAAGGGTGCTAAGAAGAAAGG